TATGGTATGGGTTATGGTAACCAAACCTGGGTCCTCTGGAAGAGCAGTTAAGTGTTCTCAACTACTGAGTCATGTCTCCAGATCACAGAGTCACATGACTTAAAAGATAGTTTAGTAGCTTAACATAGTTAAAATTTATCTCTCCTTTTAACAGGGTCTATTGCAGGTCCAGATGAATTAAGATGCAACCCATCTCCATAGAGCAACTAACTATATGGTCGGTTGAGTTCGGGTGTACTCTGCTAAATAGGCAAAACCTTGAAACTGTTGGCTGGTCAAGCAGAGCAGAGATGATGCTCTTTCATGAAAATGCTTACATACCAAGATGATTCAGTGCTTTAGGGTTAGGAGCAATAATGTTTCAAGGTGGACTGATATAGACAACATCTCATTCCCTGAATAGAATAATAGCTATGAGAACAACCAACGGTGTTGGATGTTACCACCATGCAAGTATTATTCTATTCAGTTAACAGCAATGACATCTTTCATTTCAATAATGATTAAAGCACAGACAATCAAAATAAATGGTGTGTATTGGGATTTCAGTTAAGTTCAGGATTGACAGGGAAGTAAGAATGGTAGGGATAGAGATAAATACTAGACTAATTTTTAAAAATAAAAAATAGGTAAATAAGTTGGGGTATTTCTAGGGTCTACAGATTTTAGAGAGTATTAAAGTTGTGGACAGTTACTAAAATTGTAAGGTACAAAGATGATGGGAATATGAATGGGAGAACAAGTAGATGTAGGAATAAGAGAGAAAGCCTTGAGATATAGGTGAAAATATAGTAAAGATGATTTGTATTAGGCTGTGCAAGGGAACACACACAGAAAATCTAAAACAACTGAGCAATACAAAACCATCATGAGATACATATGCAAGAATGGAGATTAAATAAAAGAAAATAGGAAATAGAAAGATACTTATGGAGTAAATTGCTGACACTGCTATGTTGAGTTGAAAGGTGATCTTTTCCTAGAAGACTCCATGTAGTGTTGTTTGTGGGAGGACAGAATGGGAGGCAGTGGTGTCCAAGCCTTTGTAATGTGTGTCATTCTGGTATGTGAGGGAAAGGAAGCTGCAAATCTGGTCCTACAGGTGCAGTGCATACGTGCATCAGCTCTTTGCTTTTCACTTGACAAAATGATGTTGAGAATCTTTAAGTCATCTCATGCTTTGGGACTTCCTGTTTTTCTCTTTCCATAGTGGTAGTCCATTGCTGGAAGATACTTGTTTATCTTATCTTGTAAATAGTCTACCCAAACTTCTGCTCAAGCTGATTCTTATGATACTGAGATATAAGAATCCTCTCATGTGTGCCTTATCAGATACTATACAATTATTTTCTCCTAACATGTGGCATGCCTTTCATTGTCTGCATAGTATGTTCTGCATGGAAGAAAGCTGGGCTTGTTTTTTAAAAGCATTCCAGAGATAAATTCCCAAGTTCAGGGTAATACAAAAGGATTTCTTTTCAATGAATAGATTGAATTTCATAGGCACAAAAGAATCAGATTAACATGAGTTATGACCGTCACTTCATCTTATATATAAATATTAAATTTACTGTATCATAATCCTACTTTCAAAATAAAAATACATAAATTTTTTATCCATGAAGTTCCTTTTCACACAACTATTTCTCGTCAGTGTGCTTCTAACTTGTACCCTTCGATGTCTATTTCTACTTCATCATTTTTTTCAAGTGTATGGGCTTAAAATATACTAACTATTCAGTTATTTTTTAAATTGTTGGATGTATGCTCAATATGTGCCCTTTTCACTGATATTACTAAATTTCATACTATTTTCTTGCTTGTTTTTTTCTTTCATTTTGTATTTGGTTTTTGAGACAGGGTTTCTCTGTGTAACAGCCCTGGCTGTCCTGGTACTCAATTTGTAGACCAGGCTGATCTCGAACTCACAGAGGTCCAACTGCTTAGCCTACTGAGTGTTGGATTAAAGGTGTGTGCCACCATGCCCAGGGTGTATGCTGTTTTATTAATTAGTTTAGCTAGGCATTTAACAAATTTTACTGATATTTTCTCACTACCAAATTCATTTTTTAAAATAATTTATTTATTCATTGGCTACTTTCTGTGTTATGAAAGTGTTCTTTGCATAGTCATTTACTTCTGTGGCTTCATGCCTGTTGTTCTCTACATCTTAAGGTTTTGTATTTTAGGATACAGTACTGATTTGCTATTTTTTCCCAAATAAATATTTGGGAAAATTAATTTCTTTCTACTTTTTAAATCATAGCAACAAATTTTGACTTTTCATACCATTCAGTATGTTTTAAATTTTGTATTGTAAAAAAACATGATGTATTCAAAGTGTATTTTAAAACTTGTAAATATGCAGGTATGTTTCACTTGATTTTTAACTTTAATTTGATTAAGGGCAGGAAATACAAGGCATACAATTATAATGGTCATAAATATATTCAATTTTGATTATAAAGCAAAGTGGGACATATCCTTTTAAGTATTCTGTATAGACTTTAAAATACATAAAGTTTTGTTAGTGGTGGTAAAATGTGTTATGCCATTTAGATTAGCTTGATTTTTAAAACTTTCCAGTTTTTAAAGTATTCCACATCCTTATTAATATTTTTGTCTTGAATCTGTATCACATGTGAAAGAGCTACCATTAGTCCAGCTATAGGTATAACTTTAATAAACATAAGAGGTGCACACTGTTAAGTAAATGTAGGTTTATGTGATCTGAATAGTGGAATAGTGGAATAGTGGAATAGTGGAATAGTGGGCATCTATACATTACTCTGCCACCTGCTTCAATAACCTTTCTCCTGGCAAGCCCTAGTGAGAGATGGCTGGGCCTTTAGTGTCTGTTTTTAAGCATGGGAAACATTGCCAGCAGCAACATTCTCATTTGTAACTACAGAGTCCACTGATGCACTTTGACAGGCACTTAGGCATGTTTCAAAATATCTGAAAGGGTCAAGCCTAGCTCAACCAGAATTTACCTAATGGCTCTGGCTGGCTGCCTGTGGGATTTTCAGACAGAAACATGTGGCTAAGCAGCTTCAAGCTTTCTTAGCAGGTTGTGTAGTATGCTAACCTGACTGGCAATGCCTTTCCAACAGTTGGCTGCCAAATATGTAAAAAACCTTGTTTCTTTTAGCCTAAAATGTTAGAATCCTTAGGAGTGTGAAATGCTGTGGAAATCTCAATTGGATTTTGGGTTTTCAACAAAGCAAATTATCAGTTAGATACCACTTGCTCACATACTCCATCCCCAGTGCTTCAACTAAAATTTTCTAAGACCTATTACACAAGGTAACACCTATCCGTGAACCATGTCTGCTTATGATTCTCAGCGATGAGGCAACTTGTTAAGTTACAGCTGTCAAGGGAAACTACAAAAAAAGGTAAGTGGATCTTCTTAAGTGCAAGGAGGTGTATTTAAAGCAACTGAAAACCACTTTCTGGAAGATCAGATGGTAAGCTCATAAGATCTCATAACGCATATTGGTACAGATGTCCCTGTAGGCAAACATGATCATCTTAGTCCTATACAGATATGAATGTGTACCTTCCCCCTCTCCAGAAACACACAATAAAAGTTACTCTGGAGCATTATATTTAGACTATGAACTAGTTTTAGTTTATGTTGTAGGAATTACAACATATCTTTAAAAAGTATTTTTTATTTAAATCTGTAAGAGAATGTAAGTTCAGTAAACATTTTGATAGGGCTCCAAAGACATAGTGCAATCACTTTCTGCTGTTGTGCTAAACGCCATTATCAATAGCAATTTGGCATAGGAGAGCATTGATATCCTGGCAGTATGCTTACCCTGCCCCCTGACAACTGGCAGGGTACGCACACTGACATTTAGGAAGATATTTAGACAGCTCAAAGGGCCCTGTTTTATGTGGCTGCTACATGCATTATGTGGCTGTGTAAGGACTCTGTACACATGTGTAAGCTTTCCCTTTTAAGTGAGCGCCTCCCAACTCTGTTTGCCTCCTTCCTTCTCTATTCCTGGTTGATCAACACCTACCCCTTCCTTTGCTCCTTTTCCCCAGTAAAATACACATGGGTTTTGTTGAGATTTATGGTTTGTGTTTCATCGCCTGCAGCTGCAGAAAACAACTGCTTTTTTTCAATTCACAGGTTATAGTCCATCGTCAAGGTGAACCAGAGCAAGAGCTCTAGGCAGGAACATGAAGACAGGGACTTAAGCAGAAATCGCAGAAGAATGCTGTTTACTGGCTTGTTCTGTCTTGTTTGCTCATCTACTTGTCTTAAATACCAAGTCCACAGAATAGCACCACCCACAGTGGGCTGGACTCTCCAGTCATCAACCAGCAATTAACAAAATCTCTCATACACACACACACACACACACACACACACACACACACACTTTTTATCCTGCAACTTTACTGTGTTTATTAGGTCTAAGAGGTTAAGTAGATTATAGAGGGTATTTTTGAATAAAGAATAATGTTAATCATCATAATTAGGGCTGGAGAAATGACAGCAGTTAGGAGCACTTGCTGCTCTTCCAGAGGGCCCAGGTTTAGTTTCCAGCACCCATATGTCAACATTCTGTAATTCCTGTTCCAGGACATCTGATGTCCTGTAGTTGCCTCGGTAGTCATTGTATATACATGGTTCAAAGACATAGACAGAAACAAAAGACTCATGCACATAAAACTAAAATCAATATTTAAAAAATCATGTTATCTACAAATAAGGATAGTCCTCTTTTCCTGTTTTATCTATTTTATGTCTCTCTCCTGTCTATTTTCTATAGCTAAGAAATCAAGCACTGTAATAAAATGAAAGAAGGGACAAGAGGCATTCTTGTTCTGTTCCTGATTTTAGAGGAAATGTTCATTTGTTTATATTATTGATTTTAGAGTCAGTACTCTATTCCTCTCCATTTACTATGTCAGATACTGCTCTGTTGTCTATAATCTTTATTATTTTGAAGTATGCTCTATGTTTCTAACATTTTCAGGACCCATACCCTCCACTGGAAGAAGGGATGGGAAGACAACAATATAAGAACACATTTAACAACAGAAAAACCAATATGACACCACCAGAGTCTAGGGACTCTACACCAGCAAGACCTGAACATCCCAGCACAGATGAAGCAGAGGAGAACAACCTTAAAAACAACTTCATGCAGATGATGTAGTCCCTAAAAGAAGCAACGAGAAAAATCATTTAAAAATGGAATAAAAAACAAAAAAATTCAAGAAATTGGCCAGGTGGTGGTGGTGCTGGCGCATGGCTTTAATCCCGGCACTTGGGAGGCAGAGGCCGGTGGATCTCTGTGAGTTTGAGACCACAGAGCTACTTCCAGGATAGCCTCCAAAGTAACAAAGAAATCCTGTCTCGAAAAACCAAAAAAAACATTTCAGAAATGAAGGAAAAGACAAAAAATTGCAATAGGTTTTTGCATCTTTTTAACTTTTGAGGTTGTTTTATCAGAATGTGTGTCTATGTACCATGTGCCTTCCTTGTTCCCACAGAGGTCAGGAGAGAATGTTATAGACCCTGAAAATGGAGTTACAGACAGATTTTACCTGTCATGTGAAATAAAGCCCAGGTCCTCTAGTAGCAAGTGCTCTTAACCACTGAGCAAACTCTATAGTCTATATTTTGTATCTCTCATGAAGAGAGATGCAAAAATTCTTAACAAAATATTAGAAAATGTATTCAGAAGTACATTATGACCTGAACAATGGGCTTCATTATGGAAAGGCAGGGTTGGCTCAACAGATATTAATCAATAAAAATAATGCATTGTATAAACAAACTAACGAGTAGAAACAATAAAAATATGATCACTGTCATTGATGATAAAACCAAATTTAAGTTTTATCTGTCTCCATACCCCGGCCTACAGAAGGTGCTAGAAGGAAAACTTCAACCTTAAGAGGTTAACCCCAAAGGTGGGCAGGTGTCACACCATAACAACAAAATAAAGAAATCAATAAACATCGCTCATTGGGAAGAGGAAAAGGACAAGATCTCCTGAGCAAACTGGGAGCATGGGGGTAGGGGAGAGGGAGCTAGGAGAAAGAGAAGGGGAGAAGAGGAGGGGGCAGGAGGACATGAGGGAGCAGGAAGACTGAGTTGGAGGAAGAATAGAGGAGAGCAAGAAAAGAGATACCATAATAGAGGAAGCCATTATAGATTTAAAGAGAAATCTGACACTAGGCAAATGTTCAAAGATCTACACGGATGACCCCAACTAATAATCTAATCAATAGTGGAGAGGCTACCTTAAATGTCCTTCCCTGATAATGAGATTGATGACTACCTTGTATACCATCCTACAGCCTTCATCCAGTAGCTGACAGAAACAGAAGCAGACACCCACAGGTAAACACTGAGCTGTACTCCTGGAATCCAGTTGCAGAGAGGGAGGAGTGATGAGCAAATGGGGTCAAGGCCAGGCTGGAGAAACCCACAGAAACAGTTGACCTGAACAATGGGGAGCTCATGGACCCCAAACTGATAGTTGGAAAACCAGCATAGGACTGTTCTAGACTCCTGAATGTGGGTGTCAGTTAGGAGGCCTGGGCAACCTATGGGACCTCTAGTAGTGGATCAGTATTTATCCCTAGTACACAAATGGACTTTAGGAGCCCATTCCACATAGAGGGATACTGTCTCAGTCTAGACACACAGATTTATATCTTTTGTTTTTTACAAAAATCAGTTCAAAATGGGTCAATGGCCCTAACTTAAAACCAGAAATATTGAAACTTGTAGATGAAAATATAGCAAATAAGTGAAGGCAGGAATTTTGAGAATAGAACATCAGTGGCACAGGAAATAGCCCCAGGTATCAACAGATCAGATTACATGAAATTACAAAGTTTCTGCACAGCAAAGGAAACTACCAACAAGGCACACAGAGCCCACAAACAGGCAGAAAAATCTTTGAAAGCTGTATTTCATGTATTTCAGACAAGGGCCAGTGTACAGAATTTACAAAGAACTGTAAAAATTAAAAATAAAGGAAACAAAGCTATCAATCAACAAATGAGCTAATGGATTCAGCAGACAGTTTTCAAAGAAAGAAAGGAAGAAAGAAACACAAATGGCCAGATAAACAGTGTATTAAATTGACCCCAAAAGACTTTTCCCCCCAAGACAGGGTCTCTCTGTGTAGCTCTTGCTGTCCTGAAACTCACTCTGTATACCCGGCTGATCTCAACGTCAGAGCTCCACCTGACTCTGCCTCCTGAAGGCTGGGGTTAAAAGTGTGTATTGCCACACTTCGTCTAATGACTTATTGCTATCTGCTCAGAACATTGCATCTCTCACCTGAGAATATTCTAATTACAGTAGACTATGATTAACACAGTGACCTACACCAACCAAGGTGCAGTGAACAAAGACCAGAGAAGGCACAGGTCTGAAATGAACATAAATACTGCACCCCCCAAGAAGCAAGGATCATTGTGGAAGAGGAGGAAGATAGAATGTAGAATGTAAGAACCTGAGGTATTGAATGACAACAGGAAAACATCTCTGGACACAGCAGGGCAGCTGCATACATGAATACACAGTAGTTCTGACAGCATGTGTGAAATCCTTGTAAGCCTCCAAAGGAGTTGGGCAAACATTTCCACCCCAAGCTGGGGGGTGGGGAGTTATTGGCAATTAGCTGGGAGAGAGACAGTTTGCCTTAAGTGTGTAACCCCTGCAAAGTTGACCATTCTTGAGTGTAAGGCAGCCCATCAAGGAAATTTGGGCAGCAGAAAATTAGTTTTGAAGGATTTTTCCTTTTTTAAAAAATAAACAAACTTAAATGAATAAGGACAAAGGAAGTGAACTGGGGAACATTTGGGTGAATTTGGATAAATACCACAGTAAACTGCATGAAACGCTCCATGTAATAATGGAAGGAAGAAACATAGCAGTTTTCAGCATCTTTAGCCATTCGGGAAATGCAAATCATAACTATTTTGAAATACCACTTCACCCAAGGCAGAAAGAATATCATTAAGCAATCTGACAGCAAATGTTGGAGAAGATGTGGAGAAAGCAGGATTCTTAGTCACAGATGTGGGGATGCAAATTAACACAGCCATCGTGGAATTAGTTTGGCAGTTCCTCAAAAGAATTAAAAATAGAACTACCATATGACCCATCTACTTGACTCTGGGTCTATGCTCAGAGAACCTCTGACTCTTCCAAAGAGTTATTTGCATCATGTATACTGCTGCTTTATTCACTATAGCAGGGAAATTGAATCATCTTAGTTGCTCATCAAAAAATAAATAATGAAAACATGGTACATATATAAAATGGAATTTTTTTCAGCAAGAAATACAAATGAAGGGAAAATAATGTTTAACATTATATAAGGTTATACAGTCTCTGAAAGAAAGAAAAAATGTCTCCTTTTTCCTCAAATGCAGATACTAGCCTATGATATGTCCATATATATGTAGACAAATGCATATATGGATTCACTGTAATATCTAGACAGAACAATGAAGGGAAATATTAGATAGTAAGGAAGGACTAATTTTAGTATTTTAGCAAGTATATTTTGTGATTTGAGTAAAGGAAAATGCCATGAGTATGTTATGGAATAATCTTCAGGTGCACTATAAAGATGTGTCTTTGCCAATACACCTTCTGATTGGTTTAATGAAATGCTGAATGCCCAATAGCTAGGCAGGATTTTGGGGACAGAGCAAATTCTGGGAAGAACAAGGGTGGAGTCTTGAGAAGACACCAGGGATACAGAGCAAGTAGCATGGGATTTACAAAGTAAATGTAACTGAGTCACATAAAAGATATGGGTTAATTTAAGTTATAAGAGCTGGTTAGAAACAAGTGTAAGCTATTGCCCAAACTTTCATTATTAATAAGAAGTCTTCATGTACTTATTTGGGAGCTAATGGGTAAAACAGAAAAAAATCCACCTACAGGAGGCATGAAAGATATAATTGTTTATCTGGTTTTAACTCTGACATGGATTTTTTCATGTGTGTGTGTGTGTGTGTGTGTGTGTGTGTGTGTGTGTGTTTTGTAGGTGAATGTACAAAAATGTAATTCATAGTGGAAGTAGAAACCTCAAAGCAAAGCTCCATGGCTGCAGAAAGGCTGCTCTAATTACATAGAGGTCATTGAGACATATAGACTTTGGGTTCTGCAGAGTTGCTTGGGATTTGTGTGTGTGTGTGTGTGTGTGTGTGTGTGTGTGTGTGTGTGTGTGTGTATGTGTGTGTGTTGTTTTTGTTTTTTGTTTTGGTGTTTTTCTTTTTTGCAATGTCTTTATAACAAAGTTATATTTTTATTTTGAAAAGAAAATAATGCATTTAGATAATAGAGAAAACAATGCTCTGTAAAACAGATCATATGAAAAACAAGAAAGGAGAAGCACAGTCAATTTGCTTTGTAACTAAAGGAATTCCAATGCTAATTGAAAAATAATAGAGTTGTTACTTTATTATGTAAATATAATCAAATTAGCTGTTTCTATTACATCAGCAATGCTAAATGTAATGTCCATAAATATAACTTGTTAAATGCCATCCTTCTCAGTCAGGGAGGTGCATTTTTATATACATACACATGTGTGCATGTGTGTGTGTGTCTGTGTGCATATCCATATCTCTATACACTTCTATATATTTATACCTATGTACATATATATTGGCATAATACATATGTATTTATATGCATATATTAATATGCACATACAATTACTTTATTTTTCCTGTAGATAAAGAGACATCTGTATACTAAGACAAAGAATGCAGTAACAAGCCAAAGAATGATCAGTGTCCAATGCCAGCACTTGAACAAGTCTGTTTATTGGGTTTGCTTGTGGTGACCCACAGATAGCTTCATCACTAGGAAATCTAGACCTCAGTCAATTGCTGATCTTTTAAATAATGACAATAGGAACAATAGGAAGAGCTTGGGCCTAGTGAAGTTCTGGAGAAGACCTCAGGAGGGTCTTGAGCCTGGGGAGCTCCCTACCTCTCTACAACAGGGTATATTAATGAGCCAAAACTTATGAAATC